TTGAAGTGACCCACAGTAAAAAGGTAAAATCTCTCAATGAACAAGTTAAAAAATGTGTTACCATTTTTTGTAAACATTCCTAATAACTCGTTGTTTTCTTTTCATAACTATACCTATTTTGTTAGTTATCTAATTCAAGCAAAATGTTTTAAATTTCAAATCTGTGGGTTTTCTAAAATGTACTCTAGAACATCTTGTTAAATTCAAATTTTTGTTTTCCTGGTAAAAGTATCATTTTTATGTGTAAATGTTTACCATTAAGAATAATTTAAAAGAGTTAAATTTTTCTCAAGTTTCAGCTACTGTGGAAGTACTTAAAATGCATAAATTTTCTTCTTTTTTTTCCATTTGGTAACAAATTCTGTTACTAAAAGAATGATGATGTAAAGCACTTATTAAAAATGTTTTTGCTTTAAGTTTATTATTTGTAATCATTTATAAATATAAGATGAAAACCATGTTTATTGGAAGGTGTTCTTTTTATCAGGAATTAGCTATGTGTGGTAAAACCATGTTTATTGGAAGGTGTTCTTTTTATCAGGAATTAGCTATGTGTGGTAAAACCATGTTTATTGGAAGGCTACTTTATTATACCCTCTAGACATAACACATCTACCTTCTATGAACATAGCTACTTTATTATACCCTCTAGACATAACACATCTACCATCTATGAACACAGCTACTTTATTATACCCTCTAGACATAACACATCTACCTTCTATGAACAAAGCTACTTTATCATACCCTCTAGACATAAGACATCTACCTTCTATGAACACAGCTACTTTATTATACCCTCTAGACACATCTACCTTCTATGAACACAGCTACTTTATTATACCCTCTAGACACATCTACCTTCTATGAACACAGCTACTTTATCATACCTTCTAGACATAACACATCTACCTTCTATGAACACAGCTACTTTATCATACCCTCTAGACATAACACATCTACCTTCTATGAACACAGCTACTTTATCATACCCTCTAGACATAACACATCTACCTTCTATGAACACAGCTACTTTATTATACCCTCTAGACATAACACATCTACCTTCTATGAACACAGCTACTTTATTATACCCTCTAGACATAACACATCTACCTTCTATGAACACAG